ATGGAATAAATCATTCCATCATTAAGAAGTATAATTTATGCCACTTTTTTTTGGGTGCTCTCAGATAACACAAATGGGTTGCCAAGACTTATTTGCATCTCATTTCTCTTTAAATCTAAATCATATTCATCTTTAATAGTTATTTAAGCTAGATTAATCTAAAGAACTGGATCCTTTACAAGTTCTCTAAAATAAACAATAATTTAATATATTGGGTAATCTAATGTTGTTGTTAGATTTACAACAGGCTTGATACTAATTACTGAATTGGTTTTATTGATAAGGAAAACGACTGCAAAATCTTCAAAGTTTAAATCAGCTAGTAATTTGACTTTCTATGTGAATCTTAATTCAATTACTTAAGTGTCATTTGTTTAGCTAGAAAGACGATATACCATAAAATCAGGAGGTTGAATATAAGTACAAATGCTCATGCTGCCTTCATGATTTTAGCATTAATAGTAATCTTCTTCTAAACATAAATATGAGCACCCATCTCCTCCAATTAAGTTTCCATCGTCACATTATTCATATTTTTAATTAAGAATTCCATTTCCACATTAATTAACACATTCATAATCGATTAATATAGAATTTTTGCTGCAAATGATATTCTCATTTTCATCTTTATTTTTATCTTCATTCTAATCTTCTTCATCTAATGGCTTGATCTCTTAGCATTTAGCAGTATCATTATTTAAGATGTATTAGCGATCACATTTTTTACAAACTTATCCTTATTCACAATCAAGACAGCCTTATGAACATTAATATTAACATTAATAACAACCATCATAAGGATCAAAATTTCCATCATCGCAATCCTCATATTATTAGAGAACGAATTTATCTCCACAATATGGATAACATACATTTTCTAACATTTAAAATCCTACTTCGCACTCTAAGCAAATTGAAAAATAGTTAGTTTTACAATTAGGGATTGAAATAAATCTGCAATCCAAACAACCATCCCATACACCATTAACAGTCAGTTCACATTATTCAACTGAATATGGGATCAAATTGCCATCTCCGCAAAAAGGATCGCAATTAAAATTTGAATTAATTATAAATCCATCTATGCATTATAAACAAATTCCAAATTAACAAATTTAACAATTTTCAACACAAGAATATTTGCATTGAATACAAGAGTGATTAGATATTAGATAATCACATTATTCTTAACCTTGAATGATTCCATCTCCACAAATTGGATGACAATTTTCTAGAAATTCATCTTAAATCCAACCTTCTTAACAAATTAAACATTTATCATTTATTTATTCTAAACACCCTTCATTCAAATTCTTAAATGTTATTTCTGGTTCAGTATAAAATAGTTCAAAATCTCTTATTTGAATAAATGATAGAGCATTAATATTCAGTTATAATATCGGATCACGATGATTTCTAATTAATATTTCTATTAAATAACGACTATCAATAGTTTATTAACCATATATATAGTCTACTACAATTGCTACCATTGTAGTTAGATCTAATTTATACAGCCTTATTAATATATCTTAATGAGGAGGTAGTTAGGTTTAGTATTTAATGAATTAAAATAACACAAATTTGCATTTTCCACATTCTTATAAATATACAATTTAACTTAATTCAAAAGTCCATCCCTCTGAATACGTTATTTATTTTTTATTAAATGAATATTAATGCAGTTTCCATTATTAAAATATTGCATGATAATTATCTATGCATCCAGCAGATTCAAACAAACATTTTATGATACTTAATTTTAATGATATTAATCCTCCAGGCTGCTAATTAATAGATATCCACAGAGTTCTTCTGTTATGTTAATTTGTAATAGAAATAGTTTGAATATATTGAGATTATGCACCGCCACACATCGTAATTTAAGATGATATCACTTACACATTATTTTATATTTTTGAGTCTATGTAGAATTAAGTTGGAGGATTGCTATCAATGCTTTGTTATTAAGTATATTAAATACCTTATAAATTGGGCATCCACTGTAATATGAGAATGAGGTTCTAGATCTAAAAAAATCCTGCTAATCTAACTATTAGAATTAATAAACCCAAAATATATAATCCCGCCACAAGTATAGAAATTAGAACTACCTTCCCATCCTAATATAAAAATAAAGAAATTACCATCTTTTGCTTAAGAATTAGCATTAAACTCATAAATTATAGTCTGACGAGTTATAGATATTAAAATGAAGATTATTATCATTATAAATGAATATCAATAAATTTTATATTAATTAAATCTTAATAATTCTATTAACTTAATCAGTTTATATAATTTATCTGAAACATCCATATAAATTGAAAGTTTATGATTCTTAGTACATAAAAGTTCTTTTTATTTTCTAAATTAATTACATAATCAAAATTATATCTTTAACTCTCATTATGTTTCAATTCGAAATAGTATTTCAATAAATGTCAATTAAATCTTGATGAATAATTAGTAGCTACTTATATAAACAATTACTCCTACAATTTAATCTAAATTTAATGCATTTATTTAAAATTAAATGACTTTTTGCGAACAAAGAAATGACCAATTTCTTGAATTATTAATTTTGATCTAATTTAAGGTTTTTTAATTTTAAAAAAGTATCTAAGTAAAAAATGACAAGCAGTGAGTAAAGAAAAATCTTAAAATTAAAGCAAATTAATTGAAAATTGAAACTCGACAACCAAATCTATTTTAACAATACTAACAAGTTTAAAAATCATTTACTACAGGTTGTAAGGAAGGGGTGAAAGTTGAATTTTTTTTCATTTATATTATGATAATAAAATTATAAATTTTAAATCTACATCACAACCCAATCTTAATCTTCTTTCTCTAGTTTATCAATTAAGAATTGCT